TACAAGGCTTAGAAACTGGGGTTATGTTCCTATCTCGCTCAAAACACAAAAGACTTAGATCACTGGCCGAGCCCTAATCTAAGACATCTACAACAATCCCAGACAGAATTAAAAGCAACAAAACCCAAGAGAATAAAGCATGCTAAGAAACTAAGACAACAAAAACAACCTAGAAGACAAGACAAGCAAAGAAAGAAGGCAGCAGCCAACAGAAACTAGAACTATTAAATCACCATGCTAAATTCCATCCACTCCTCCATTGCAATACTGACCACTGATCTCTCTGGTCTCCACAGGCTTTGGAACACCCACTGATTCCTAGCTTTCCACATCCACCAGAGTAGGTATGTGGTTAGCTATATCCTGTCCTCATTAATAGCAGAGCAGGGGATAGTACACATTGATGACCACCAGTGACTGAAATTATCAGAGTGTTGCTTCAAGCCTTCCCAGCTGATTGGTGCAAGACTCCAGACTTTGGCAGCTCTAGGATAGGTAAAAAAGAGGTGGGTGATTGTTTCAGCTTCTTCCCCACAGACCTTGCATCTTTCCTCTATATGAATGCCCCTCTTTGCCAGATTGACACTTACAGGCAAAATATTGTTTAGGCACTTCCAGATGAAGTGCTTAATTTTCCCTTTAACTTTCAAGCCCCAAAGCCTTTTCCTCATACCCCTGATCTCAGAATGCCCCCTACTTGGCTCAGCAATATCCAAGTTCTTCCATTTTTCCTTCACCAAATAGTCATAAGAAGCAGCCACTGAGTGTGTACCCTTTTTACCACAGTGCCAGATTAGTTTGTCCTCCTCCCCTGGGTTTAAACTTTTCACTTTCAGGATGGCAGCTTGTTCTTCTTCTGAAAAGAGATCTTGCAGCACATGTCTATTCCAATTCCTCCCTGTCACATCAATCAATTCACTTACCAAGCTGATGTTGGAGTTAGCAGGAGGTCTGCTCTTAGGTTTAAAGCCAGGTAGGCCAGGAATCCATGGATGATCATAGATCTTGATTCTGCTTCCTTTTTTTAACTTCATATCTCAGTCCCAGCTGGAAGGTGTCTCTCACTTTGAGCCAGCTATGCCACATCCATGATCCTGTTTGTTTGTGATTAACTGTGAAGAAGTTGTCACTGGGAAAGTATTTGGCCTTCAAACATTTGCTGATAAGGAGGTTAGGCTGTGTGAGGATCCTCCATAATTGCTTGGTAATCAGAGCTTTGTTCATTAACTGGATATCATGGAAACCAATTCCTCTATTGTCTTTAGGCAGGGTCAAAAGATTCCAAGCCTTCCAATGTATTTTCTTGCCTTCAGAGTGACCTGAGTTCCACCAAAAAGCAGCAAATTGTCTAGCAATATTTGTACAGACAACTTTAGGGATGAGAAAGCAGGACATATAGTACACTGGCAAAGCATTAAGAACTGCCTTTAGGAGAACTTCTCTACCAGCAGCGGAGAGAAATCTGTTCTTCCAATTCTTAATTCTCTTATCAACAGCATCTGATATGAATGAGAAGGTGTCAATTTTACTACCCCCAATGCCAAGAGGCAACCCTAAATATCTAGAGGAATTTTGGGGAGAGATTCCCAGAAGGCAGTTACAAATAGAGACATTCAGGGGGGTTGAGGCATTTTTGCTGAAGAAGATAGAGGATTTAGAAAGGTTCACTTTTTGCCCAGTTATTTTTTTATAATCAGCCAAAATATCAAGAATAGAGTTGGCTTGAGAAAGATCAGTGTTTGTCCCATTTTTGTTGCATTTTTCGTTATTATTTTCTCATTCTTTTTCCCCTATTCTGAGTCATTTAGTTGGTTTTAGGTTCATTTTGTCGTTTATTGTGTGTTTTGTGTTGTCTTGAGTGCCCCGGTAATTTTTATGTTTTTTCCGGTAGTCTTCCGTTTGTGTTTTCATTTTTGGTGTGTAGGTCGGGAGCTTCGGGAGAACAGGTTTCTGGGAAATTTTTGGGGAAGCTTACATCATTAGATAGAGGGGTTCGTTAGCTACGCGTAGAAAAAACGAAACTCAATTCCGAGTTCGGACGAGCTCAAACGAAGCAAAACCGTGAAGCCGCGCAGTGCAGCCAACTTTCTCCGCGGCCGCGGGAATACCTCCGCGGCCGCGGAGGCCGCGAACCCAAAAGTTGCTGCAGCTATTTCCCGCGGCCGCGGAGCAAGTCGCCGCCGCGGAGGTCGCGAAAACAGGTTTTAAAAGCAGATTTTTTGAACGATTGAGGGTTCATTCTCCCCCTCCTGGGGACGAACCTAGGGCGAAAAAACACGAACAAAAACTCCTTTCTCCTTCCCCTCTTGTTCTTCTCCTTTCTTCCTTCTTCTTTCATCTTTCTCTTTCATTTTTCTTCCTTTTTTTTCTTGGAATTCAAAGATTAAGCTTTGTAATTTTGGATTCAACACTTGGATTTGATATTAATCGTAAGTTTCTTTTCTCTTATGTTTAATTCATGAATAATGGTTGAATTGTGAAAATTGATTATGTGTGTTGGATTGAATTTACGTAGCTAATCTTATCGCTAGGGATAGGGGAATGATTGTTCTTGTTTAACGTGCATCTCTCGGGCTTGAAATTGTTCTTTCTTATGTGAGTTGTTTCGATTAGGGATTGATATATTCTTGCTTGATTGATTGATATAATCGAAGAGTGACACTTCGATCTTGCAATTGGTAACAATTGAATGTTGATAAGTCGAGTTAGGGTTTCGTTGATTCTATCTGATTAGTCGATTAACACTCTTCTAGTTAAATTATCGACTTTTTGAACCGAAAGGGGAGAAGTCGTAGACTTAGGCTCACATGAGGTAGACGATGTCGTAATTGACTAATCTACGTGTTTTAGATTGAAATACGCACTTGTCAATGACCCGTCCCTTGTTACGAAAAGTTATTGGGATTGGGATAATTGGCCTGTGTCGTATGCTCGAACTTGTTCGTCCATGTTCAATCCCTTGTTACGTAGAGTTATTGGGAGCGAACCCCTAGATGTCTAAGCGAGAGTGTCAATTTTAAACCGAACAATTGATTGCCCAGTTTTGCTAGAACTTGAATTAATTATCCCCGACTCCCTAGCTTCTTTTTCATTGTTTCGTTTATTTTCTTAGGTAGGTTATTGCTTTTTATTATTTCTTAGCTGATAATTATTCATCCATCCTTATTCGATTAGAGTGTTTAGGTTTGTTTTCTTTTTATGTGTTATCGATATCAAAACTAAGTTCCGAACAGCCTTCCTCGTGAGATCGACCCGGGGAACGAATCTTTAGATTCCGTACTCGGTAAAAAGAATAATTTGTACACAACAAATTTGGCGCCGTTGCCGGGGAAGGCAAGTAGGATATTTAGTTTTGGTGTTTGATCTTATTTTCTGTGTTTCTCTTTATTTTAGCATTTTTAGTGTTTTTGTTCCTTTTTTGCATTTGTGTTTTTCTCTTCTATTCTTGTTTTAGTTTTTATCTTCTTTTCTCCTCTCTTTTTCTTGGCTACGTGTGGTTGTTTTGTTCTGGTGTGCAGGTACAATGAATTTCAATCACGGGTACTTCTCCCTGCACGACCCCTCTTGGAACAACGAGCCAGTCTATTTCCCCGGGTACCACTCCCAACCGTACCCTTATTCTTTCGAGCAGTGTTGGAACCATCTTCCGGTCGAGCAAAATTATGAGGCCCTTAAGTTCAACGAAAAGCTCGACCGAATTATTGAGTTCATAGATTCCCAAGCAGCTCGAGAAAAAGAGGCCGCCTACCATGCGAAGATCGACCAGATCCTGGCTTTTATAGAATCCAAAGAAGAAGAGGTAGCCTACAATGCAAAGCTCGATCAGATTCTTGATACTTTGGCATCCCAAGCTACCCGTAAGAGAGATCTAGAGTTCCAAGTTGAGAGCTTAATGGAGCGCGTACATGCC